CTCGATAGCCCGAATGGCCACAGGGCACTGCAGGAGATGTGCAGCCTCGATAGCCCGAATGGCCACAGGGCACTGCAGGAGATGTGCAGCCTCGCAGCCGGAGCATCCGCAGCGCGCCCTGCGCTGTTCCACAGAGCAGAGCCGCTGGAAGCTCCCAGGCCCTGCGGCACAAGCGGCTCCTGCAGCAGAATCCCGCAGAGCCGCTGGAAAGAAACTTCGCCCGCTTTGCCCGCAGCTCCTCCTTGCTCCGGCGGTGCCGCTCCGCAGAGCCAGGGGTGGCAGCTGTGTCAGCGGGGGCTGCGGTGCCAGCCTGACTCCTGCTTGCGTCTGCATTCCCGGAGCTGCTGTGCCAAGCGCTTTCCTGCCAGCTGCTCGCCCGTGCTGGCTGTCTCTCCCCGGGGCATCGGAGGTGCCCGGCTGGGGGAGGCACCGCGGGCTGCGATCCGCGGGGCGCGCCGAGGGTTGCTGCGTCCGTGCCCTGCACTTCGGGTGTCTCGGCATGAGGAAAAGGGCATGGCTGTGGGTCTCCATCAAAGTCAGTCCTTAGGGCTCTGCGCACTCCTGCGCTGGCGGTCCCCAAACCCTTTTTGCCGGCAGCGGTGTTCCTGCTTTTTCCTGGGAAGGCTTTACTGTGCACAGAGAGGCGCTCAGGGCCCCTGTGCAGAGGAAGACCAGCCGGTGCTGCCTTGACTCCCCGGGAGTTCAGAAAGTGCTGTGTCCGCCACACATTCAGACATGAAGCCAGCTTCCCACCACTCCCTGAAGCAAGCTGGTGCTGGGACACTGCTGGGAAGGCGTGGGGTGCTTCTCCAACCCCCGCAGATGGAACAGATGTTGCCTCCTTTCCCCCACATAAAACATTTTGGGGTTTAAGGTGCCCCATAGGTGCCACTTTTGGGGTGCCCTCCGCTTCAGGTTAGCCTGGCCAGGCTGTTGTGTGCCGTTCCCAGCCACCACGGTGTCCCCAAACAGAGGGAGAAGCTCCCAGCCTGGCTCCCGCTCCTCCTCGTCGCCCTGAGCCCGGCGCGTCCCGTCCCTGCGAGTGCCGCGCTCCCGGCGCCGCCGCTCGCCCTGCCCGGTCCTGGCTGCGGGGCCGCGGCCCGGGAATGGTTCCACGGTTGCCAAGGGCGGAACCCGAGCGCTCGGAGCGCCTGCATCCGCCTGCTCGGCGTGTGAGCGGCTCCCGCCGGGCCGCCCAGCAGCTCCATGATGCTGAAGCGTGTGGCAGGCACCAAGTGGCTCCTCTGGCTGCTGAGTAAGTGACTGTCCTTGCCGGGCCACCTCAGAGCCTGGGCTTGGAGCCTTTTTGCTGCTGCCGCCCCACTCCCGTCGCTCACAAGACCACCCCACCTGGCCCACAGGCCATGTCACCCCGGCTCTGCTCGCCCCGGGGCAGCTGGAGGCTCTTGCAGGGCACTGAGGGCGGAGGCAGCAGGAGAGGAGCCCCAGCCGGAGACAAAGAGGGGAGGGAGGAGATGGAGGGATGTCCCCTTGGACAGGGATGTGCCCATAGCATGGTGCAGGGGGCAGGGGAGCCACCACCATTGTGGGTGCCTCTGCAGGCTGGGGCTTTTGAGAGGAAAAATTAAAAACAAACCAACCAACCAAACAATAATGCCAAAAAATCAAAAACCCAAACACACACACACACACACAAAAAGGAAACAACAAAACCAAAATCAAAACACTTCTCCGCCCCGCTCCCCCCCGTCCAAACCAAGCTCACAATAAAATCTGAGTTTCAGAGGTTTTTTTGGGTTTTTTCCCTTCCTTTTCATTCTTTTTCCCCCCTTTTCCCTGGGGCTCCTGGTTACCCCAGCACCCTGCAGGCAGGGATGATAGAGGGAGACTCCCGGCCAGCATCTGAAGTGTTTATCCCTGCACTCTGTGCCAGCACACAGGAGCAGGCCAACCTGCCAGCTGCTCCTTCATCTCCACCCGCTCGTCCCTGTCACGGACATCCCATCCCATCCCATCCCATCCCATCCCATCCCATCCCATCCCATCCCACGCGTTTGTCCCGCAGGCGTGCTGGCGTTGCCGAGGGCCGCAGCAGCCGCGGCGGTGCCGCCTGTGCCGGGCAGCCCGCTGTCGGACGGGGAGTACGAGCAGTTCTTCGCCAGGCTGCACCCGCCCTGGCAGGCCAACATGTTCTGCCTGCTGCGCCAGGCCTACGGCTGCCTCAGCCCCAGCATCCTGCGCCTGGACCAGGCGGAGAACCACGGGGAAGTCCCCGAAGGTAAGGGCATCTCCCTCCCCCAGGCTCAGCCGAGACGCGGATCTAGTTTGAGCAGCTGTTTCTCTGCCCCCAAATGCCACGAGACTGTGGGAATGGGATGGGTTGGTTTGGGCTCTATGGCCCAAAGAGTAGCTTGGAGCAGACACTTGCAGAACTAGAGCACAGCGGCTTTTGTGGCCTCTCTGAGTGTCCCTTTCAGTGCTGCACCACTTTCCTGGAGAAAAAAAAAAAAACAACCAACTTTTCCCAAAGGCCAGCCCTAACCTCCAAAGCAGGAATTCACATGGTTTCCCCCCCTCCACCATGTATTGTCTGGCACCACCAAAAAGTGTTTGTCCTCTTGTCTTTCCTTCAAGCCCTTGTGAGCTACTGTGACTCCTCCTCTTCATCCAGCTGAGCAAGCACAGCTGTCCCAGACTCTCTTTACAGGTCACGTAAAGCCAAAAAAACCACAGCCACTTTGGTGGCCCTTCCTTTCTCCCCATCTCTGTTGGTGGGGTGGCAGGAGGAAAAAGTGGCCACAGTTTTCTCAAGCTCATTGTTGCTCCTCATCTCTTACCAGCTCCTTCCAACTTCATCTGAGGGTTAATGCAGCACCTTGGCTCATGGGCTCTCATAGGTCTTTAAGAAAACTTGAGATGATAAGCTGCCTTTTTAAGTGTTTAACATTTCAGGAGCCAAGAAACATCCCAGTTCAGAAAGCACCATAGCAACAGCACCCTTCAGATCTCTGCAGTCATATTTTCCCTGCACCCCTGCATCAGAGAATTTAAGTGGTATAATTATATCTGTGCAGCTGAAAAACTTGGGACTACTTCTGTTGTATTTTTCTTCAGAGGAAAAAAAAATAGGAGCAATTTTCTCATAAAAAAATATGTCTTTATATTTAGATATGAACGTCAATGAGCTGAATGATCAGCCAACTGTGCTTATTTGGACTGCAGCTTGAGGGCAACTATTTCTTGCTGGTTTCTGCAGCTGTGTTGGGAAAACGAGTCCCACCCCACACCACCAGACCCAGGGATGGGTCCTGTGCTCCTCACTCACTTTTGGGCACCTGCAATCCACTGTGCCCGGGTGCTTTGAACACCCAGGGTCTGTCCCTGGTTCCTCTCCTCGTGGTGCCCAATTCCCCAGCACTGCTCTTTGTCATGTCCAGCCACACTCCCACTGCTGCTACCTTCAGAGACTCAGTTCTCAAGAACAGAAGCATCTGGAAATATAGAAGATGGGACAGTTTTGCAGGTTGCCTTCTTTACCTTCTTTTCTTCCATCCCTCAGCCTAACACACCTATCCAGCAGAATTTTTTCTCCTTTGTGTTACCTTTTTTCCCAGTTTGGGGGCTATTTTGGCACGTTTCAGCCAGGCTGAGAGGTGGAACAGATGTGGCAGTGTGTGCTCTCTCATGTTTAGCCTCTGCTGTCCTCACAGAGCTATGGCAGTGCTGTCTACACCCAGATATCCATGAACATTAACTGTGCCCATTCAGGTGTGGTGCTGAAGAAGGCAGTCACCTTGTGCTTTAAACAAAGAAAAGTGCTCCCTACCATAGCTTGAGCTTTAAACAAGGGATGGGGTGGCGTTCTGGAGTTTTCCCTACAAGCTGGGTGTTTTTCTGGGCTGGGATCCTGGTGTATATCTGAAATTCTACTTTTGATGGCTCAGCTGTTTGCTCAGCACAAGAAGTGAGCTCAGGGTAAAGGAAGGTGAATGAGCAGTATCAGGAGGGCAGTGCAATTCCACTGCTAATGCCCTCCCTCTCAGCCAGCACTCCCCCTGTTCTCACAGGGCTGGCTGTGCCAGCCAGGCCATGCACTCCTAGAGCAAAGGGAGCACAAGATCACCCAATTCTTCAGGGTTTTCTGCTCTCCTGCATGCCCTTGGCTTTTCTGCAGTCACTGTAATTGCTGCAGCTCTTGAGTCAACGTGCTAGCAGTGCTGGTCAAGACTGCAGTTTATGTGTGTACAGGTTTTGCCAGCAGCATCCTGGCCCTATGGACCCTCCTCCATCCCCTGCAAGGCTGGAATCAATGTCAAATTACATTGCCCTGAAGAATTTGTCTCCTCTGGAGCCATTTGCCTGGAGAAGCTGTTGCAGCCCCATCCCTGAGCCAACAAGACCAGGCTGGATGTGTCTTTGGACAACCTGGTCCTGTGGAAAGGGTCCTTGTCCATGGCAGAAGACTTGGAACTTGATGATCAATAAGGACCCATCCAAACCTAACCATTCTCTGATTCTCTGGTGCTCCCAGGCCTGGTCTGGTCATCTTTTTAATCTATTATATCTCTACTTGCCTTTTCTCTCTTTTTTAAAACCCAGAAATGACTAATAACAGAAGCATCAGATCCTGGAAATAGGAAGTTTGTGTCTTTGTCATAGGGAAGATAACTGTGTGAAAAAGGGCAGAAGGACAAAGTGAAATTCTCAGGGGGCTGGAGGGAAAAGAGATGTGGTTCCTGGAACTGGGAGCTCTAACAGCCCATGGCTGTAATCTCCACCTTGGGCACACAGCTTGGACTTTCCCTGCATCCATGAGCTGCCACCCCAGAGGGTCCCCATCTCTTGGTGCACCCAGGCCTGCCTCGATCCCACATCTCTGTCTCTAGGGCCAGTCTGCTCTGAATTTCCAGAGGTGGTGCAGTTCCAGACCTTCTGCCAGTTTGCCCAGTACCGCTGCCTCAAACAGCAGTTCTTCATCAAGGTAAGGAGTGGGCTGTGGGACGGGTGGGGGGAGCATCTCCTGGGAAATGGAAGGGTGAGGAGGAAGGGAAGCTCACACGGTGAGAGTCGTGTTTCTCCCTCTCCCCTCCACGCAGCGAGTCCCATGTCCGAGCGGGTCTCTAACAAGCCCTTTCCCAATGGAGCCATCCAGCACCGTGAACTCCGTGGCAGAGGGCAGAGGCTCCCCTGTCACACAAGGTATGGCTGCACCGAGCTGTGCTGGGCACCCCTGCTCACCTGCTGCTCTCCTGTAGCTGCTCTGCACCCCTGCAGCTTTCTGCCTGGCCTCCAAAAGCCACCCTCAGCCGCTCAGAAGCAGGCTGTTCTGTCACCTGCTGATGCCCTGCTGCAGGACAGTGTGGCAGACCTTCTCAAGTTCTCTCCTGCACCGCTAGCTCAGCAACCGTGGCCGACGAAGCATCCCCCAGCCACGTCAAAGGTGCCCCAACCCTGGCAGAAGAACAGGACTATGCACCCACCAAATCTCTCGGCTGCCACCTCACCTTCCAGGATGGAATCCCTGGATGACCAAAGCCTGAGGAAAAGCATCTGGCAGCTGATCCATTCGGCCCTCTCCTTGGATGCATCCTTGGACAACAAGGCCCCCTTTTGGAACTTCACCAACTCGGGCCCGGGACACACATCAGAGCAGGAAACTCCTCCCCGAGGCAGGTGAGGGGAAGTCTGCTCTCTGTGGGTACCACGCAGCACCCCTGCAGGGCTGTCCTGCACACCAGACAGCAGCCCCAGGGCATCCTTGTCCCTGCTCGGAGCAGCTGGTGAGTCTGGGCAAGTGTTCTGGAGCAAGCTGTTCCATCCAGAGCAGGAATGTACCTGGGGAGCCCCCAGCCACAAAGTGAGCAGGGAGAGGGTGATCCAGCACTGCCTGAAAATGGCACTGTCCTTGCATCCTGAGCAAGTGAGTTTAGTTTGGGCCTGAGCTGCAGGCAGGGCTTTGTGCCGTGCCTGTGTTTCCCCACACTGTGGCCATCTGCCCTACGCAATCAGCTCGGCACTCGTCCTCCTCCAAACACGTGTCCCAGGAGTCTGGGTGATGTGCAGAAACAGTGTCCTTGCAAACACAGGTCCTTGGGATGTGTGTCACTGTGCTCCTTGCCTCTCAGTGTGTAAGACAAAGCAGATGTTTCTTAAAGCAGCCTGCCCTGAGGAACCCTCCAGGAGTGCTCTGTCCTCACCCAAGGGCAGCTACAGCAGCGCTGGGCTAGGAAAGAGCCAGGAGCACAAAGCTGTGCAGGGCCACTACTTCTCCTCGAGCACGTGCACCTCTCTGCACTCTGGATGTGTGCACAGCTCTTCCTAGGGTGTTTCTCGTTCCTCATTTCGGTTTTGGAGGCAGCATCACATCAGTTCAGCATGGGACCCTGCACCAGGCCAGCTTGCCGCAACCCTTTCACACACCCCACGTCAGCTCCTCTGGCCTATGAATGTGTTAGGAGCTCATGGAGCATGTTCAGCTCTTCTCAGCTGATTTGCCTGGCTCTGTTTACCTCTGTCCTCAGGTACCTGTGGCTGGTGACAGAGAAAAGACCTGCAAAATTATGTTATGCTTTCACTCAAATTCACTTTTTGATCCTTTGGTGCCTTGTGGCTAAGGACCATTTACTTTGAATGACATGCAAGTATTATTTTGCTTACCAAGAGGAAAAAAAAAGGGTCTCTAGATGTGGTTTTCATGAAGAATTAATTTTGGTTTCGCACTCTTGCTGGCCAGTGATGTTCCTGTAAGTGCACAGATTTCCTGCCTCATTGCACATCTGTGGTTTTTCTGAACATGCTGCACACCGCTGCCACAGCGCAGAGATTCCACTTCTGCATGTAAAGATGAATTGCATCGTGTTGTTAAAGCCATAACTGTCTTCTTGCAAGCCTCTAACATATGTCATCCTCCTTCCTAATATCGTAGGAGGCTTTCACATCCTGGAAAAAGTTTTCCTGGTGTATGTGCTCTCAGGCAAAATGATGTTGCATTGAGGATTTCGTTCTCCCTGCCTCTGAAACTGAGCCTTGCTGTGATTGAGTTCTGTTGGGATTACTGGGGGACTGCTGTGATGGCAGATGACACTCGCTGTTCTGCTGCAGAGTTTCTCAAAGACACTAATGCCGAGTGTGTGTCTGTAACTGGCAGCCGAGCCCCATCAATCATGCTAAGCAAAGCTTAAACCCCCACTGACGGATAAAAAGGCGAGATAGACTGCGCCTGTCGGCTTTGCAGCTTGCCACATCCCACCTCCTCTCAGAGGGATTCAAAGCATGACCTAAAAAAGGGGCAAAATGCCTGGAGGCACTTCCATTCCAGCAAGAGGAGCAGTGCTGGGTGGGACTGGTCGTTGTGCACAGGTGCCATTAAGCAGCTGGTTTAGCACAAGGTGGGCAGGGCTGTGATGGGCACAGATCCCAGAGCTGCATGTCTTCCCTAGGGTCTTATGCCCAGCAGGACATCCATCCTTCTTATGGGTCCCCTGTGGCTTGTGGCAGCTGCTCTGGCAGCTATTCCAGTTTTCATAGTGCCTGATGAGCCAGCTGTGATCTTTTGAGGGAGACAGGGCAAGGGCAGTGATACAAGAAGAATCTGCAGCACTTTCCTGTGGTCTTTCTGGTAGCAGTGAATCACTGGGTGGAAGGGGGAAATTAAAATTATTGTGTCTTTTTGCTATTTTTAGTCCTTATTGTGCTTTCTGTCTTATTTCCTAGAACTTCCTCTCCTCAGAGTTACCTCTAAACCATGATTCAGTCTTGAAATAAGCTAAGCAGAGCTCCATAGCCCTTACCTTACAAAGCCCATGCAAATCTCATTTTCTGCAGCAACTTTCAGTGTCCCTTTGAAACACTCCCATGTTCCAGCTCTGGGTGCACTACCCAGCGATGGCATTCAGCGTTTGGGTACATGGAAGGACATCAGCCTCCCTTCCCTGCTTTTCTGTTTGCAGGAAGAATTGCATTTGCCCTTTTTCCCAGAGCTTCCTAGTGTTGTGTCATTTGTCAGCTCAACCCCTGCACCCCTTTCAGCATCACAGCTGTCTCAGATCCAGATCTTATTCTGTTGGTATTCAGATGTGAATGCTCACCTGTGGTTCATGTGAGCCCAGCTTCCCCAGCCAGACTGTTCCAATCCCTCTCAGAATCCCAGAAATGCAAGGGTTGGAGATCATTCTGTTCAATCCCTTGCCAAGGAAGGGTCACCTGGAGCAGGTGACACAGGAACATGTCCAGGTGGAATTTGATTGTCTGGAGAGGGAGACTCCATGACTTCCCTGGACAGCCTGTTCCAGTGCTCTGCCACCCTCAATGTAAAGAAGTTCTTCCTGCTGTTGAGGTGGAACTTTTTGTGGTTTAGTTTATGGCCACTGCTCCTCATCCTGTGGCCAGGAACCACTGGAAAGAGTCTGGCATCATCCTCTTGGCATCCATCCTTGAGATACTTATATACAGTGAGAGATACACTCCTGGTGACCCCTCCTCCTCCTCCTCCTCCTCCTCCTCCTCCTCCTCCTNCTCCTCCTCCTCCTCCTCCTCCTCCTCCTCCTCCTCCTCCTGCTTTACCACTCCAAACAGTCCTTGTGGTGCTTATCTACTTCAGCCCCAGAGGCTTTCATTTTAAGGCCAGACCCTTCATTAAAAATACCATCCCCAGGAAAAAAACTCTTTTTGAATTATCATCACCCATAACCAGCCCTGGCATGCAGTCAAAGATCTTTTTTTTTCTTTCTGAAGCTGTTAAGAGTGGCCTTTTCATAACTGGTTTTAGTTTCCTGCAGCAACCCCCCTAAATCAGAATTTACCAGGTGCTGGAAAGCTGCTGTTCACTCCTTATCTTCTTTTCTGCTCGCCTCAGGTGCTCACTGCACCTCAGCCAGGCAGTATCAGGAAGGCTCAGCAGCCGAAAGCTAATGGCCCAAATCCTTGTCATTACGTGGCAGGAGAGGCAAATGCTGCTCACCAGCACTCTTCAGAGATACCACTGGAGCAGGCTCTGTGTGTCCTTCCACATCCTGAGATGCTGAAGTATGATAAGCTGTTACCTGAAGTTTTCTCTTTTGCCTTAGATCAATTACTGATCTCGGCCCACAGATTCTTCTTAATCTTGGTTTGGTTTTTTTCCACTTTCCCTTTGGATCTTTGCCTCACAGGACCTGTTAAGCTTTTTCCAGGGCAGTGGTTAGGACAATAACATGCAGAGGTACTAAGCTGGGGGGGGATTTGCATTAGAAAATCACTTTAGATAACCAATCTCTTTCCCTGAATCATGGTGAAACCTCTGTGCATCCACAAACAGCTCAGCGGCGTGTCAACAAGTGGAGAGAACCAGCAGTAGTGCTGTTATACTCACCCAGAGATGGTAAATCAGCTCATAAATTTGCAACTGTGAGGCCAGAAAACCTCACAGCAGAGATGGAGAGCAGAGATAGAGGAGGAAGAGGATGTGACAGAGAGCACAGCAGAATTTCTTGGTAAACTTAGGCAGTGTGGCACAACTCAGTTTTCTGTGAAGCCAATCACTTTTGACATAGGAATTGCCCTGATCCTGCACCCTGGCCTTCCTGCTCAGCACAGGACATTATAACATGTCTGGTGAGCACCAAAGAAAACTACAGTGCTGTGTGGCTGAGCCACAGACTCCTCTCCTAACAGAAGTTTGGGATATCTTTTTGAAGTCTCCAAGCTGTGGAGGAAGCACCCATCAGCTTTTCCCATGCTAAACACCCTTGGTGTCAGAAAGATGTAGTTTTCTTCTTGTTTGAATGGATCTCACCCCAAATTCCAGTCACCAAAAGTCATTACTCTTCCACCTGCTGACAAGGAGAGCTTTCCAGCTGAAGCCCTCCTTGGGCTGACTGACTGAGTGGGAACCCACTGGTGTCTATGCTCAGCTGAGTGATGCTTTTTTAGCTTCTACCTCTAGGTGAAAATTTTCCAGTTCTTAGGAAATCTCATCTTCATGACCTTCCTTCATGTTCTCTACCTCTTCTTAATTTTTTTTAATGCTAATCTGTCTCCTAGAAGTTTCAGATATTCTCAGGAAAACTTGTCTATACATGTTAGCCCGTGCATGGATTTTAAGAGCATTTTAACACAAGCAGTTGCTGCTCTTCTTCACTCTCTGTTCGATCAAAGTTTATCACTGGCTTTGTTTCCAGACACAAGAGGCAAATATCTAATGAGCATGTTTACCTCTTCTGCATCATTGGTGATGATTGAAACCAACCATCCCTGTCTGCTAACAGTTGTGTACCATGTTTATAAATTCCATTGTTCCTAAGAGATGCCAGATATTCTCATTGCTCTGATCCCATTTTCCTTACATTTTCTACTTTTACCTACCCATGTCAGCCTGGATGAACAGTAAATTCATGGTTAACTAGTTTTTTTCCCATTTCTGTCAAATACTTGGGAGGGAGACTTAATATGTGACATCCACCAGACCCAAATGGGGCTGCCTGACGTTCAACACTCAGCAGACATCTAACAAACATCTCCTCACTGTGCACTCAGATGGATGAAATTAGGCAGCAGCTGCTGCAGGGGCCCTGGGCTGTATT